TATCAATTCTATTGCAAACACATGTTGTCATTCTATTCTATTTAAAGTTGAGTTGTCATTCCATTTCTAATCATATTCCAGAATGAGTTGTCATTCTATTCCAAGCTAACAAACCGTCCTATGATGTATTTTTATTTCCAGACTCGTATCTACGATTTGAATCAAACAGAACACAGTGAGAATGATGTGCTTATAATGGCTTCTGATGGATTATGGGATATTCTATCCAATCAAGAAGCAGCAGATATTGTCAAAGACATACTAGAAAATTTCCCACCTGGAGATATGAGTAGGTTAGTTGATTGCAGGCACTCCTAGTGCAAATGATTTAATGGTAAAACAAGACAATATGGTGCAGAAATGACCTCTGTTACGTGATTCAATGACTTAAATACCCGCCTTGAAAACATAAAAAGATGGCTATGTGTTGGTCATTTAATGACTAAGTTTGCTTCCCTACCAATTTGAACAGATTGTAAAATGCCTTAATGGTCATGGCTGCTCAATAACCTTCCTGACATTAAGGAAAATCCAATGAAATGATTATATCACCCATCTGATGTACATTTGACAAATTTAAGCAGATGACTCATTCAATTCAGATGCCCATCTGACAATAAAAGCAAATGATTCATTTACTATAATATTTCTCTGGCACTGCAGATGATTCAGTAATTGAAAATACAACCCAATTATTCAATGATTATAATATGTACAATACAGAGTCAATCCAAAGCTAATTACAAGATTGTAATTGATTGGCTGCCCAGTCAGACCAATCAGAGAGCAGCTTGTTTGTGGACAGTTTTTTTCAAAGTTCAGTTTATATGCTTTGACTCAACTGACAACACAAGCCAATCACTAAAATGCCCATCTTGCCATAGAAGCAGATGATTCAATGACTGAATATGATTCAAAACACCCACCTGGCCATATATGCAGATGATTCAATGATTGAATATAATTCAAAACACCAACCTGACCATATAAGCAGATGATTCAATGACTAAATATGATTCAAAACACCCACTTTGCCATAGAAGCAGATGATTCAATGACTAAATATGATTCAAAACACCCATCTGACCATATAAGCAGATGATTCAATGACTAAATATGATTCAAAACACCCACCTGACCATAGAAGCAGATGATTCAATGACTAAATATGATTCAAAACACCCACCTGGCCATAGAAGCAGATGATTCAATGACTAAATGTGATTCAAAACAACCACCTGACCATATAAGCAGATGATTCAATGACTGAATATGATTCAAAACTCCCACCTGGTCATAGAAGCAGGTGATTCAATGACTAAATATGATTCAAACCACCCACCA